AATCTTTGTCGTGTAGTGATTTTGTGTGAAGAAGTGTGGTATAATATGCAGTCTCAATTGCGTAAAAATGTAGAGATAACACGTGGAAATATAAAAGCGTCGTTTTAAATCGCTGTCGTCACTTGGGATACAGATTCCATAAAGGTAGGTAGAAGTTCCATTTCCTGCGATGTGATATATAGCAAAGAATTGTAGGCAAATATGGAACTTAGGTTACAATCGCGATATGGACACATTCAAAGAAAATCTATTGACATTAATAGGCGTAGATATGATTAATTTGATTATTTACTCATTTCATTTATCTATCTAATTTATTTTGTTTGTTGATTTGTGTGTTTATTTACTTCATTTTACAGAGTTCGATGTAGATGAGTTTTTTTATTTATTTTTTATGTTGGATGACATGTTTGAATTTATTGCTTGTTTTTCAAAATTTGAGTGAAGAAAATGAGGGATATAGAGGATTGGCATTTGAAAATAGTTTATGGGTTTTGTATACAAAATATATTTGTAGTGAGTTTTGATGTTTGTTTGCTGTGGTTTCAGGTCAAGTAGATTTGCCAGGCTGCTAGGTATTCAGTGTGCTATGGCTGGGAAGAATCTTTATATGAGATTTACCTGCAGTACAGGTGATGCCATGGGGATGAACATGGTCTCCAAAGGAGTGCAGAATGTTCTTGATTTTCTTCAAAATGATTTCCCTGACATGGATGTTATTGGCATATCTGGTAATTTCCACGGCCTTTTGGATGAGACTTGCTTAATCCTTTTCTAGTAAACCTGCATGAAGTCATTAATACCATTTGTTTTGCTTGTACTATCGCACATGTCTCTCTCATGAAAGTGGTCCCATTACTTTAATCATACTTGTTTCTTTCATGAATGTGGTCCAATTACATTATTTTGTCTTTTGCATTGTCATCCTTGACGTTTATACTTATTTTATTGTTATAGGTGTTATACAATTATATGCCATACGTTAATTACATAGGTGTTTTTGTAAAGTTTCACCTATACATATGAAATTGTCAAGTTGAACTAATATTTGAGCTTGATCTGTTTGTTGTATCTGCATTTTGAGAAAACGATTATGTCTATATATTTTTTTAGTTTAATCTCATTTTTAACAGCATGGTGCAAATAATTGAACTTTGGCACTATTCTCAAACTCTCAAAATCATTTTAATTGGAACATTGGACCAAAAATGTGATGGTTGTTTGTACCGATTTGATCTTGTAGGAAATTATTGTGCGGACAAGAAACCTGCTGCGGTTAATTGGATCGAGGGACGTGGGAAATCAGTTGTTTGTGAAGCAGTTATCAAAGAAGAAATAGTGAAGACAGTATTGAAGACCAATGTGGCTGCCCTGGTGGAACTCAACATGCTCAAAAACCTTGCTGGTTCTGCCATTGCTGGTGCTCTTGGTGGATTTAACGCCCATGCTAGCAACATTGTGTCTGCCATTTTTATAGCCACGGGTCAAGATCCAGCTCAAAACATTGAAAGTTCCCATTGCATAACAATGATGGAGGCCGTAAATGACGGGAGAGACCTCCATATCTCTGTGACCATGCCTTCCATTGAGGTGATTTTGCATTCTTAGATTTTAGTTTAATCTTAAATTTTCCAATTTAATAGCTCTAGGCCTAATGTTTTATTCTTCTTGACTTCTCAGGTGGGTACAGTAGGGGGTGGGACGCAACTTGCATCTCAATCTGCTTGTTTGAATATGCTTGGTGTGAAAGGTTCCAGCAAGGAATCACCAGGATCAAACTCGAGACTCTTGGCAACCATTGTTGCTGGAGCTGTTTTAGCAGGCGAGCTGTCTCTGATGTCTGCCATTGCTGCAGGGCAACTAGTCAAAAGTCACATGAAATACAACAGATCATGCAAAGATGTAACTAAAATATCATCTTGAGGGTGACGACAAGGTTGCAGTCATTATTGTTTATGTTGTCTAAAATAAATAAAAAACAGTAGGGTCTCAGCGCAGAAACCGGAATTTAGGGAAGGAAAAATAGAAGGCACCGGATTCGTTGTTAATACCCATATCTGGCTCTGCTGCTATGTGTAATGTTTTGTAATTTGGACGGAGGAAACTAGAGTTCTACCTGTTTGGTTATTCTCTCTAGATCCTTCCTCTCAGCCAAGCCACTGGTTGGGTGTTACCATTCTTGTTCTCCATAACCAAGACATTGAGGTGTTGTATTATAATTCTTTTCCTGATATATATCTTAGTAGTATATAATTTATGCATCATTGTCTCCGAAATATTTATATATTCTATGTAGTTGGGGATTTCTCATTCAGTCTGTGGATGTCGAAGTGCGAATATTCTGTTACCGTTTCCACTTACCTTTCAACCTTGCCTTTCAACCTTGTTAGACGTATTTCATTGTCAGTTTGTTACTTCTGTTTAGAATAATTATTTAAGCATCCATAGTCCCCTTGAATTGTAGAGTTAGGATGAATCCATAAAGCCAGGGTTCACCAATAACTTGTGAGTTGTAGAGTGTAAGTGAATTATTTTTATGTAACATTTTGAATAAGTAAACTAGGTTAGCAACCAAACCATTTACTTCAACATCTTTTTTTCTCTCTCTCTCTCCAACCCACCTCATGATAAGTATTGATTTGGATGTTAGGGATTTGATCAGGTAAACTCAAAAGATAAGAGTTGATATTAATTGTTATGCATGTCTTTATCATTCCATAGTCTTGCCTTAAACAAGTTTGTTACAAAATTTTCAAATGATTGTTAGGGGCTAATCGGTTCAGTTTGGATTGGTTTTTGGTCAAAAATTTGTCTAAACTAATGATATCTTTATCGGTTTGGTTTGATTTGGTTTTTAGTGTTTTTTAAAAATTGAACAAATCAAATTAACCGGTTTAATTCGGTTTAGTTCGGTTGATTGGTTTTCAACATATTTTTTTAAAACAATTATATTCAACCGTATATTATTTGCTATCATATTTTTTAGCATATTTTATGTTATTATTTATTCAAATAATATATTTCATATAATATATTTCATACTATACTTTTCAAATAACTTACCACTTACAAGTTGTTCTATATTCATATGAAGTATTGACATAATTTTTATATATTATGAAATAAGTTCACTATCGAACACAAAAGTTCGCACTTGACATGAAAAGTTTAAGAAGAGATTTGAAAGCTTAACAAATAAAATATAAAAATAAAAACAAAAAATTTCAATACACATAAATTAACATATTTCACACTTCAAACACACATCAAAACTATTTTATAACAAGATTATAATGAAATTAATTGAAGAAACATAAAAGGTAAATGAAAATGACTGAAGAAAACTTGAACATGAATAAGACAACCATAACGTATAAGAATGACAATGGCGAGAAAAATAGTAGCACTTTAGTGAGAGTAATTTTTTATGCCATATGGTTTTTATTTTTTAGATTTGGAGTTTGGTTTTGGCTATATATTTTGTTCAAAGAAAGTGTAAAAAAGAGGAAGAAGTGTTGGACTGATATGAAGTTTAGGTTTAATAATAAGTTAAATAAAAGATTAAGTAAGTACTTATAGTTATCGGTTTGATTTATCGATTTGACGGTTCTTAAAAAGTAAAATCGAAAATCAAACTAAATCAACTTAATTTTAATTAGTTTGGTTCAGTGAACAGAACAAAAAATACTCTATTTTTTTACAATTTAATTTAATTTAAATTATCTATTTAATTGATTTTTTACGCCCTAATGATTGTTATCCTCTAAGGATTACACGCTAAGGTATCGAATAATAGTAAATGACAAGTCATGATTTTAGAAGTATCCTAAACAAAACAAGACAACATAAATAATAATAATCGTATTTAATTAGTAGTGACATGTTGTCACAATACCCCTCTTTCAAGAGTACAATTGTCGTAAGGGTAAAACTCGGAAACTTCTTCAACAAGTCGTGGTAAAACTCTCAGGTGGCCTGAACCGGAGGGCTATCCTTCCACTGAACCAAAATCTTCGAAGCAGCAATTCCATTCAATATTTACCATCTTCGTCCATAATATTATGTAGAACTCTGTGACGGGGCATTGGGGTAGCAGTTAGGGGTTAAATGCAATTATCAGATTGGGGATGATATGCGCTAGACTTGTTCAAAGCAACCCCTTGTAACTTAAAAAATTAATTCCAAAATTTGCTAAGAAAAGTATGATAACTTGTGATGGAATCAAGGAGACTAAGGAGTTTAAGAACATGATCCAAAAAATTCTTAGCAACATCCATTCATTTGTTTGACTTTTATTTTTGATTTAGAAGGCGTGTTTGTTTGAGCGTAGAAAATTATATTCTTAGAATGATATTTCTCATAATATTAGTATTAGAAATACTATTTTGAGAAAACCATACTGTATTTGGCAAGTACTTACTGTAACATTTTTATTTGGTAAGTACTTAACATTTTTAAGTATATTGCTTCCAAAAGTTGAGTACATAACACTTTTGAGGAATAACACTTTTTGATTATGACTTGTAACACTTGAATACAATACTTAACATTTTTAAGTATATTGCTTCCAAAAGTTGAGTACAACACTTTTGATTATGACTTGTAACACTTGAATACAATACTTTTGAGGAATGATGATCACATACAACTAGTGATTTATAGCAAAAGCAACAATAAACTAGTGGCAGACAGAATGAGTAAATTTTTGAGACGATCTTTCATTTCTCTAAGGGGTCACAGAACCAACTAATAAGAGAATATTCAACTTCCAATAAAGCATAACAACACAGTTACTTCACTCAAGTGTTGTTACTTTCTTCTGCAGAAATTTAAGTTTTCGTCAACCTTAATCTTACATATGCAACCAAATTCATAATGTAATTGTTCAAGTCATGCATGAGATGTGAGGCAAACATAGCCTCAAATAAGAGGAGTTAAAGCCACAGAAACCAATCCTAATACTATTACACTGAAGAAAACAAGAAAGCTGAAATTGCATATTAAATCAAAGCATCAACCATTGAGCAATTAAGAAAGCGTCCGACTTTAGTTATGGCAAACCCAGCTACTCGTGATGTAGTAGCAGACTCATCCTTTGCTCTGGCCAGATTCTCTTTACAAAGAATCTCTTTCTCACACACTGTTTTCAGCTTCTCAATCAATTCCTTCTTCTGTGCTTCACATTCTTCCAACTCAAGCTCATACTGTTCCACAAGCTTCCTATTCTTAGCAACTTTCTGTTTCAGCTCGCTAGCCTGCATAAGAGTCTCCTTTGCCTCAAGCAACTCAGTTAGCCTCTTGTGCAGCCATTAAACTTCCACTTTCATATTTCTTATTCCATCTACAAGGGCAATTTTGTCTTCCAAGAAACTTTCTTTAATACTGCGAACATCTTTCTTTTTTGAAATCCAATACGATTTCGCAGATAGTCTCCAACAATTCTGATATGTGTTTCACCTATTCCGTCACACAATTTCGAGCAATATCTCCATGTTTGTCTATTATTATTCTTAATATGGCATGAATTTCATCTTCACATGATACTCATTCACTGTGTCCTCAGCCCGACTCGATATATCAGAAACAACCCTGTTGTATCTCAAAATTTTCCCTCCCATATTTTTCAAAATATTTCAAGAAAGATCCTCAAGTTGCTCAAGGTAGTCCAAGGGTTGGCCAGACAAGCTCTCTCCTAAGACAGTCTACCCCAAATTAGGGTTTCATGTTGCATCAAGATACTTGAGTTCAAGGGATCCCAAATACTCAACATTGTCCTAATATGTTCTCAAAATCATCCATGTCAAGTTTCAAGCCTTGCAGAGAAAGTTTGCTCAGTCAATTGCTCAAAGGCCTGAAAATCGACCGTGCTAGGGCAAAAGTCAACTGTGACCCACATACAGTCAAACTTCAAGATTTTTAGTCAACATCCTCATTTTGAAGTTTATTTCATCATTTGATCATGATTCATCAAGGATTGCTCATAATTCATCAAGACTCAAAAGTTGCTAAATTAGGGTTTTGTAGGAAAAGTCAACTCAACTTTGACCAAGCATAACTTTATCATACTTTATGAGAAATGACCTATCCAAAGCTCATTTTGAAGAGGATGCAATTTCCTACAATCCATATTCAGCTCCCAAGTTCAAAATATACACTTACAAGAAGTTATGAATTTAGACATTATAGGTCATTTTGAAAAGTCAACAAAAACACCTTTTTTGTCAAAACTTCATACATGAGCATGGAATATCAAAATGAGATGAGTCCAAAAGGGTTGATTAGAGGACATCTCAATATTTCTAAAAAGTCCAAAAACACCTCCAAAGAGTCAAAATTAAGGAAGTTATGCATTGGTGAAGTTGACCTTTTTTGCAAAATTGTCAAAAGTCAACTATCCCCTAAAACTTCAAATTTTGCCAAATGGGCCCAATATTTTTCACTTGTCTTGAGTTGGAAACATAGACCACGAGCTCTAGCCTTTGCCACTTGTCCATATCTTGTTTTTATTTTTTATTTTGATTTTGATTTGAATTAATTCAATTTAAATCAAAACAAATCATATAAAATCCAAAATATTGAAAACCAAAGATTTTGTGCTTGTTTCAAGTCTTATTACACAGCTAGCATCAAATCAAACTCGTATCAAGGCATGTGTGCACAAAAAGATTGGATTTGGAACAATTTTGGAAAGTTTTCAAAGTGAATCAAATCAAAGATCCAAATCATTGATAGAGGAAGATTGAGAGCAGTTTTGGAACCCTAATCTATTCCTTGGTACAAATAGAACAAAGGCAGACCATAAACTAGGTTAGAAACAGGCGCAACAAGCAAAGCAACATTTGAAAAAAAATCAAGAAAAGTGTAAGATCGAATTCCTATTTTCAGGCATCCTCAAGGCCTTCTAGCTATCCCAATCGATTCCTGGGAGTGTCAACAAGCTAAAGCAATCAAGAACCAAGCCGTTCCAGTCCCAAATTGCACTGTAAGTCGCTCACGATAAAACTCTTTTCTTGAATTCGAATAGCATGATTTAGGCATTGTTAGGATGAACTAATCATATATTGTTGATCTATGAGACATATGCAAGCTTGCTGTATGATTTAATTGCATTTATATGGCCTATACACGATTTCACCATGGCTAGGTTTCGAAGCTCCGAATTAGGGTTTTTGTTTACAGGTGAAATTAGCTCTGATGAAGGGTACCATTGTGTTCAGAATGATGAGACGAATCCAACCATGGCGTTAGGTGTCATTTATATGACCCATGGAGGATTTGGGAAGAGCCAGGCTTATAGCAACGGACAAAATATCCGTAGGTAAAAGTCTGAGACTTTTACCCACGGAGAGGGGAAGACGATGACCTATGTGACACCATTCCATTGGCTCGTTCAAATTCCGCGCGCAAAATTGATACAAAAGGCCTTTTTAATATTTGTTTTTTATTTTGCATTATTATTACAACTAATGTGAATGGCCCAGTGGTAGCCAGGTTGGTGTTAAGGCGTGAGAGTGCTTGAGGTCAGGGGTTCGACCCCTGCCTTTAACATTTGTGCTTTTTCTTAAGTTATTTCAGGTGATTGCATACGTGCATAACTCCAAGGCCTATCATACTCCCTCAAAATCCAGTACGCTAAGTAGCTGGATGGGCAAATCTGATGGCCATCCAGGAGATACCACCATGAAGCCTCAGTCAACACAATACACTGGATCCTCAAGGTCAACGTGGACCTCACTCAAATGGGCCCAGATCTGACTATTGACACCCCCATTATTTTAGACCCATTCTCTCTTTTCTATTTTCTTTTCTATTTTCTTTTATTTCACTTAACTTATTTAATTTATTTACTAACCAATCAAATTATTTTCTTTTTATCAAAAAAATCACAAAAAAATTAATTTTCATAAATTAGGTCTAGGTTTTATTTTTATTAAAAATTAATTAATTTAATTAGGTTAGTTAATTTAGGTAACTTTAATTTATTTTTTTTGTAAATAATTAAAATTAATTAGAATAAATAGATTTTATTACTAACTTAATTATATTTTATTTTTTTTCCTAAAATAATCAAAAAAAACCAAAAATAGGTCATGTATTTATTTTTATTAATTATTTAATCATTAATTAATTTGTACATTTATTTTTAAAACCTAATTTCTTTTCTTTAAAAAAAATATTAAAAACAAAAAAAACAAATTTTCTTTTAATTAGGATAGGAGGGTCAAAACCCTAATTTCGCATTCGATCTAATTTGTCATTGCGCGCTTTATGCTATTTTTTTTATCCCAATTATTGTATCTGCTCACAGTTTGTAATAGTTTTAATTAGGGCTTTTACTTTTCATTTACCGCTTTATTTTTCAAAGGGTTTGCTTTTGACTATGTAAATACCCGAAGCCTTGTAATAGCGTAGTTTAATTTCCACACTTTAAATTCCGCAAAATATTAACTGTTAGATGTATGATAATAGGATGCATGACAAGAATGTATGACTAATTTTAAAACAGTTAGACAACCTTAAATGTGCAAAGATAAATAAACTGAAATTGAATCATTCGCACATGCGCACTCCTAGGGTACACTCCCACTTGGTTGCCTTCGGTAAACAACCATTGAGTATAGGATATTTTAGTGGTCGTCCTTTTGTCCAAAGATCAAAGTTGCCTCGGAAAGGTTTCCTCGGATATTGTTTCCTCGGATAAATGATCTAAGACATTTGGGTTATTACTAAGACGTCCTAACATTGCTTTAGTGACCGTACGTCCCTTTTCGAATTGACCCTCAAAACTCCAACGACGGTGCTACCTACTCACTAATAATGGGATAGCGCTGTCTAAAGGAAACAAACATAGAACGATTCTTTTTTCGAGTAGGTAGATTAGTTCTTAAGTACTTGCTCAATCAAAACAAACTTTTTCACACTTACACTCCTTTACAAACAAAGTTTTCAAAAACACTTCATTACACTCTTGAAGACAGAAGCAAGAGTTAAATCGAAGTTAAATCAAAAACTTTTCAAAGTCCACAAACACAAAGAAAACAATTTTGAAAATGATGAGCAAATACCTAAGAGCCCGTAGATAACTACGGATAGAAAGGGTGCTAATACCTTCCCTTTCTATAATCTACCCCCCGTACTCAGAAATATCTCGAAAAAAGGAATTTTTCTGTGCTTTTTTCTTTTCCTTGTTGGATAAAATAAAAGTCGATGACGACTCTTGCTTACCGCGACATTTTGCAAACACAAACCAACAAAATTTCTTAACGAAATAGGGAAACACGTCCCGGTTCTGGCCACCGTATCACAGAACTGGCGACTCTAATGAGGATATAATAAGTGGGGTATACCTTAGGAATAGTTCATCATATTATTTTCAATTGTTTGATCTGTATGCTTTATCTTTGTGGGCTTTATATCGGAGTTACTATAGATCCTAACCCGTATCTGGGGATACCTTTAGGTAAGTAGCAATAGACTGTGAGGGAACTGTACGGCGTAGACCGATACGGTTGAAGCAGTAGCTACGTTGGTGTGACACATTAGTTGGTACCGATATCCCTTGTGGAGGAACAAGGAGAGTATGGGGCTGCTAATGGATCATTAAGCATCAACTGACCTTAGAACCTATAATTGACCAACTTGGCCATAGAAAAGTAGCAGTATGCTACACTCATTGAGACCATACTCTCGCGATGATTTCGGCCGCAAGAAAAGGTTGCTAAACTGGAATTATGACCGATCGAGGATGGTCAGTGATATTGAGATCCTCTAGAACCCGGTTACTATTACTAGGACAGGTTGAACCAGCTAAATTGAAAGAGGGTAATACCTAAACTCCATGCCAGCCTGAAATTTAAGGGCTATTGTGTGACTTGTTTGCCCTTACCATGTTTTCTATCTGTGATACCTGTGGTGTGTTTTTATCATGACATCATGCGTCATGACATTGCATGCATATTTTCATCAGACTAACCATTTCAAAGACCGAGGGGATTCATCTTTGTTTTGTTTTGCAGATCATGGCATCTATGCGCAAAAATACCATTTGAATCAGCTTTGTGCAGATACCTGCTCAGCTTAGAGAGTTGGTTTCAAAAGTTCCTGATACTTCTTCCTTTGTTAGAATAAATGGTCATCTCCTCTTCCTGGTAACTTCTAAGTTGGATGAGCAAATGATGAGCGTCTTGTTCCAGTTCTTTGACCCGTTGCACCACTGTTTCATCTTCCCGGACTATCAGTTGGTCCCTACTTTGGAGGAGTT